CTGAATTGATGCCAGTAGCATTCAAAAAAACACTGAATTGATGGAATGCATTATGAATAGTCATGGCAAAATTTTCTTTCTATTAATTTTTTTTTCCAGATATTAAAATTGGTTATTTTAGCCCCCAACCCACTAACATATAAATTGGGTTCAATTTTTTAACCTGTATTTAAAATAAGTTGGAATCCGTTTTGAACCAACTTATGATAGACCAGCCATACGGGTCGAGTTACCCCGTTATGACAACTCTAAATGATTAATAAACGCCAAGATTTCGTTTCTATCAATTTTCTTCTGCACCAAAATCAATTCAAACCATCTTACATACCTTCTAGTACAAATACTATTATTTAAATGATTTTTTAAAAAAAAATTTAATTAGTATCCATACAATACACAGCATTATATACCTTTCTTTCTTAATATTATCATATTCTATTCCTATTTCCATTTCACCCGTATTTTCTATTGACTACTTAGCTACTTTCTCTAGTAACCAACTATCACTATAAAATGATAGCTTAGGTCCATGACTATGGCTGAATCGCATTTGGTCCACTGGCTTAGGTCCAATGGAAATAGTATGATGTACATTTAGTTTAAGATTTTTGGACATTACAATTTATGTTTATAGACATATAGAATAAATGATAAAATAAATTTTACTTTTGGTCCACTGATTATTATACATGAATCGCATTTGGTTATTGACTATTAAAATTTTCTAAGAGTAAATTACACTTTTGGTCCAGTGACTATAGGGGACGCGTTAATTTAGGTCCATGACTTTTAAAACTAACAATTTAGTCCTTTAACTATGGTTTTTTTAGCAGATTTGGTCTTCCGACCAAATCACTGGTGAATTTTCGCCGGAAAAACGTAATCCATTTTAAATTAAATATAAGTGGGGGCAAAATGGTCAATTTAACTTTTTAAAAGGGGCAAAGTCGCTGGAGTGAAATTGAAAGTGAAACCCTGCACAAATCAAAGTCGCCGGCGAAGAGTAGCTCATTCTGGAATATGAAAATGAGTGCAACCCTGCACAAATCAAAGCCGTGTATGATTGAACCAAAATGAGGTTCACGTGGTCTGAGTGTGGAAATCTTCCGGAAGCAAGAAGTGAAAATGAGGAGGATGGAAGCGGCGGCTGCTATCCCTCCGGCGAGCGGCACCAACAGGCTGTGTATCTAAGCGTGAACCACCGGCGGCGACGACGGCGAAGAAGGAAAATCACGTGAGGGCATGGCGATAATCAAATTATTGGGCGATTAAACACACTACATCTCTTATGGTTTCCCGGTCCAACACCGTGCCTAGCGGGTTGGATGGATTATTGCTCAAATTCTGGTCGCCGTGGTTGAGGAAGATCAGTCGACAAGCAACTGCAATGAAGGAGGTGATGAAATGACTGATTTACCCCAACTTATATTTAATTTAAAATGGATTATGTTTTTCCGGCGAAAATTCACCGGTGATTTGACCAGAAGGATCAAATCTGCTAAAAAAAACATAGTTAAAGGACTAAATTGTTAGTTTTTAAAGTCAGGGACCAAAATTAACACGCCCCTATAGTCATAGGACCAAAAGTGTAATTTTCTCAATTTTCTAATTAAGTATATGACTATGTAATTTGTATCACATTTGATCCTACCATCCATTTTTGCATTTGCGGAAGAAGCAATGCAACACTTCCTGCAATAGTTGGCTGGGAAATTAGAAGACAGGACCAAATGTGATATAAATTATATAGTAATGGACCTAATTAGAAAATTTTAATAGTCAAGGACCAAATGTGATTCATTTATAATAGTCAAGGGACAAAAAGTGAAATTTTCTCTAAATATTTTGAACATAGTATGAGATGAATGTTATTAAACATGATGCGTCTATAGTAATGTTTTCATACATTAAACTTTGTTTTTATGAACATTATGAACCTACTATAAAGTGAATGTAATTAAATACATTTGATGTATATTTAGTTTAGTGTTTATCAACATTAATGTTTATGTTTATAGACATATAGAACAAATATTATGAGTATAGTACACGATGAATACTAAACATGATACGTTCATAGTATATTGTCTATGTACATTAACCTTTATTTTTATGAACATATAGAATGAATATTATGAACTCACTATAGAGTGAATGAAAATGCATATAATGTACATTTACTTTAGTGTTTATGGACACTAAGGTTTGATTTATGGACATATAGAACAAATTAAATATTATGAACATAGTCTATTATAATGTTATTAAATATGATGTACTAATTGACATTTGATATAAAACGATGTCGTTTTGGACTAGGATCCACCATGGAAGGTGACCCTGGTCAACCATGGAAGCAACACGCATGTCTTGCATTTACTAAAGAAATATATTATCTTGAAAACCTTAAACAATACACATAGCTTGCACTTAGTAATATTACATTTAGTGTAATAGTTTAATAGATACAAATTCTAATACTTTTGAGCAGCCAAATACATTATTTGTTGTGCTGACTACATTTAATTAAAATTTTCAAATTCAAAATTTGTGTCTACCAAAGTCACTTTGCACTCTAACTTTTAGATGTTCATTAGTTTGCTTATAAATACCCACAAATTAGGTTCAGTATTTATGATTTTTTTTTTAATTTTTTATTTTGTTTTTGGGTATACTTCTCTTTATATGCCTATGGTATTTTTGTAGTTTGACAAGTGATGGGTTTATGGTCATTTACTTTTTTTTTTTATTTTTTTTTATTTTTTATAATTTAGTCCAACACTAAGTCATTATAAAGCAAAATTTGATATTAAGTACTATACATACTTTATTATAATAACATATATATAGAATATTACTAGTTTTTTACGCGCATTGCGCGATTGAGATAATGCCCAATGTTTTTTTTTTTTTTTTTTTTTTTTAAATATGTACTTTAAAGTATATCAAGGCAAGATTATATTGAAATTGTTCATGCATAGATAATTGAATGTTGAATTTGTGTATTTAAATAGGTAATTCTAAGTTTACAAATGCAAGATAATATAGTCAAGATTGATTATAATTGTCAATAAAATAATTGTATAGGTATAGTTGAAACCAAATACGGGACATAAGGGAGAGCAAACAAAAATTAGAGCATAAAATATTAAATATATACTAATATTGAAGAGCTAACTGCTGATTGCCAAACAAGGATATTGCGAGGTAGTTTCCCACTTCAATTTGTTGTGTGATTTGAATACTCTTTTTGTCAATAAACTCTCAAAGTAGTTAATATGATTGACTTAATTATATATATTTTTTAATTTTTTTAAAACAATTATTATTATTATTATTATTATTATTATTATTATTATTATTATTATTATTATTATTATTATTATTATTATTATTATTATTATGTATACCCTTAGGTCATTTTATATGATAATCTAAACATCTAATTTTTTCAAATATCTTTTTACCAACCGTTAATATAATTCGCTAGTCAAATCCGCTAATATAATCCACTAACCATTGATTGTCAAACAAGGACATTGCGAGGTAGTTCTCACTTCAATTTGTTGTGTTATTTGAATACTCTCTTTGTCAATAAATTCCTCAAGTAGTTAATATGATTGGATTTATTAATTATATATTTTTTTTAATTTTTTCATGGTATTAATAAAATACTTGGTAAATAAGTATATAGCATTATTTTGTATTATAACTTTGATATTTAATTAAAAAATAGTGCACTAAAAAGATAATAGACAACGTAGTGAATACAATCAATTGATGAATTTGAATGTAAAAATTTTTACATTGGAGAAATATAAAGACAATATAACTAATAAAATTATTTCTCTTAATTAATTTATTAATAATGAATAATTTTTTTTTAATAAAGACATTGTAGGGACAATGTAGCAAATATAATCAATTGGCGAATTTGAATGTAATGGATTTTTATATTGGAGAAAAATAAAGACAATATAACTAATAAATTATTTCTCTTATTTAATTTATTGATAATGAATAATTTTTTTGAATAAAGACATTGTAGACACATAATTCTAAATTAAAGAAATGCATATATATTATTTTTTGTTGTAGCTACTAAATTATTATTTAATTTAATAAGAGTAAAATAGAGTACTAATTATGCCAACTTTGATTGTGATGAAGTTCGAACTTAAGACCTTTCTTATTAAAATCAATGAGTAAGTTAACGGTAAACTAACAGAAATTAACGGAAAAGATAATATTTAACGGAAAAGTTAACAGATAATCATATTCATTAAGGATAAACTAGGAAATCTTAAGGAAAAAATAAAATCTGATCAATCTGAGCCATTTATTTGACTAAAAAATTTGACCGTCATTTTTTCTCCCTATTATAGGCCTAACTCTCTTGGGCTCTAATAGATGTAATATTTTGAGTATTTATTTGCGTTATTTAAATTTAATAAATAATATAATTATTGAATATGTGTTACTATCCGTGTCATACTAGTGAATAGTAAAGGCCAAGATTTTCTTTCTATCAAATTTCTTCACATTGAAAAAAAATTAAAATATTCATGCACCAAAATCAATTCAAACCATGTGACGACATACCTTCTAGTACAAATATGTTCTATTATTTTTTTTTTCTTTTTTTTTTTGAATGCTACTAGCTCTATTACATTGTAGTATCTGTTCATATACTTTCTCAACCTACTGAAACACAAAGAGCTAATAATAGCTCCACTGAGGCTCGAACTCACAACCTTCCAAATGGAAGTCCAACCCGGGTATCATTGGACCACATAGTTCTATTATTTAAATGAAATTCTTTTAAAATTTTAATTAGTATCCATAGAATTGAATACACAACATTATAATTATATATCTTTCTTTCTCAATATTATCATATTCTATTCCTATTTTCAATTTCACCCTTATTTTATATTCACTACCTAGCTACCTCTAGTCACCAACTATCACTATAAAATGATGGCTTAGGTCCATGCATGGCTACCACAAAAACTCAAAACCATAATGGATTCCCCTCTACAATGGCTTTTAGCAGCTTTCGCTACCATTTTTCTACTTGCCACTTTTCTCCGCAACAAAAAGGCGGCAAGACGCGGGAAGGGCCGCCGGAAGCTACCGGAGCCCAGCTTTGCATGGCCGATAATCGGGAATTTCCACCTCCTCGCGGCCAATGACCGGCTGCCGCACAAAGTTTTGGGCGACATGGCGGACAAATACGGGCCAATATTCGGATTGAGGTTGTGCGCGCATCGAGTATTCGTTGTGAGCGACTCGCGGATAGCGAAAGAGTGTCTCACCGTCAACGACAGAGCGCTGGCCGGCCGGCCAAAGGCCATAGCTTCCGAGCACATAGGCTACAACTACGCCGACATCGCGCTGTGCCCGCCCAACCTGTTCTGGCGCGACGTCCGCAAGGTGGTGGTGCTGGAGCTGCTGTCCAGCCGCCGCCTGGAGGCGCTCCGGCGGGTGCGGGAGTCGGGGGTGAAAAGATTCACCCAAGAAATCTACCGGAGATGGGCGACGGAGAAGAAGAAGAAGAACGATTGTTTTTCCGGCGAAGTAATAAAGCTGGACATGTCGGAGTGGTTCGGGAGATTAATCATCGGCGTGATGTTGCAGATAATGTTCGGGCATCGGTACGAGGATGTCGGGAGCTCGGTGGCGGCGACGTTGAGGAGAAACTTTGAGCTGTTGGGGTTGTCGGTTGTGGGTGATTTTCTGCCATGGCTGAGATGGTTGGACATAGGAGGGTACGAGAAAGCCATTAAGGAGAACACTAAGGAAATGGACGATGTGGTGGACTGTTGGCTGCAACAACATAGCAGGAAACGAAACACCAAACCCAAAGAGGAACAAGACTTCATGGATGCATTGATTTCTCATTATGATAGTGATAAAGAAATTCCAAATGGTTATGACGCAGATACAGCTATCAAAGCCACTTGCACGGTATGTATCTTGCAAATTTTTTATCTGCCAGGCAACCTTAACCAAGTTAGTCAGATCAAACTGTTGACTTAGTAATCACAATATTACATACTCTAAGCTGGAGTGGCCTATTAACATTCTTGGTTTGAGTAGTCAGCTATGGACAACCTAGGCTGATTTACTTTCTTGTGGCCCTTTGCAGGCTAGGGTCACAAGACATGTTTTATCTAGTTTGAACTAATCAGGCTATAGATAATCTAAGCTGATTTACCTCATTGTGATCCGATTCTTTGCCTACTAAGGTCACAAGCTAAGGTGGGACAGTGCACACCCAGATAATGGTTGCGGGTTTATCTTGTCAATCAAGAAAAAGAAAAAGATTAATTCACCTGATTTTTTATATGTCCCATTCATACGGAATAATACCAATGACCATAATCCCAGATATCCTTTAAATGGAGAGACTAAGTTAAATTTGACTTTAAGTCAGGACTAGAATTTGACTTTTACACAAAAAAGAAAAGAAAAGAAAGAAAGTGTGAACTCGCAATTGTATTTGGAACTCACTTTTCCACTCCTCTATGTTGTTTTAAGCAATAGTAATTTTAGTTTACTACACTCACACTAATAAATTGGTATGACACATTAGTCTTAGCTTGCTTAACTATATAGATTTTGACAAATGATAATAATGTAAGTATGTGTGAAAATTTATTATTAGGATGTTTAATCTTTTATAACAACACAGTTACGGCACTCATGTTAGATTAAATATATACTACAAAACAAGTATTTGCTTCTATCATATTGGAATGTGTATATCGTTAATTATGTGAAACTTTTTAGGGTTGAAATTGCAATTAAGAGTTCATGACACTTAGCTTAATAGTTATTTTAAGAAGACAATATTATTGTATTCAAGTTGAATTAACCAATCAATTATCTAAATTTAATGGACATTTTGTTAGATAATAAATTTAGTCTAACATGAACTGTAGTAACGAGTAACCTGTCTCGTAGTAGCGGAAGTTTTAGGATCGCCCGAATATCCCCAGCCATAGTCGTTGGTATTGCCACGAGATGGTAAACCTGTCGAATAAAGGTTAGTGTACGTTTTTGTCTACCACTTCTCTCCCGAATACGTGATGGTGCGTGTCTTGAACTTGAGAGCTGTGGGAGGACTCTTTTTCTTAGAAGCCTACATGCCATCAACATATGCAGATATTCAGTTAAAGCTTAACTGAATATCCTGAGTTGCATAACAGATTAAGTCACTAATTGACTCAATCTCCTACTTGCACCACAGCCACCCAATAATACAATATATTATAATATATTGTATTTAGGGAAAATACTTACATTCTCCCACTTTGTGCAAGTACTGGTACAACCTTCATTAAAGAACAAAATACAAGAACCATAGTAATACGTCATCTACTGATCAAGTGAGTAATATCTACTATGATCACATGCATTTAAATTCTCTAACTTAGGTTCTTTATGAACAAACCCTACGTTTATTCTTAGTCCCTTAATGGATGTTTCTCAAAATATATTATGTGCACAACTGAAGGAAGAAACCATCCAAATTCACTGTATGATCTCCAAAATCTTAGAAGCATGCCTTAAGTAGAGATATCTTAATGTTAGCATAATGCTAACTATATTCTATGACTTGTTTATAAGTTAACATAAACACTACCTCTAACGGCTAAGAGCTTGGAGTTGACACGTCTGTCACTCCCACTCATTAAGATAGCCCAAAACATAGTCAAGTCACAGAAACATTCCAATAACCACCATAACTTCCCAAATAATCTCAAGGTCCACCTCGAAATTAATTGAACATTACGAGTCTTATTATGTCTTACAAAATTGTTTTGAGCCTTACAAACCAAAATGGCCCAGGATCAATTTTGAAGAAACTAAAGACTCTATAATTGCTAAAGAATTTATTAATTGGCAATGCACCACAAGTTAAATGCTTTCGATCTAATAAATTCATTAATATTGTTACAACATTTTCATAAATATGTTGTACAACCAAACGTTCAATGAAATGAACTTATGAATTATAAGAACAAAAACTAAATTAATACTTGTGGAAACTTTTGGACTTATTGCTAGACGCACAATCCAATTTGGAATGTATGAGAACAACTAAATCCATCAGCTTTAGTGGAGTATCTTAATGATCTGTGGAGTATCTTAATGATCTTTCCTAAATGATCACTCCCACTGATTAAGATATTCTTTAGCCAAATTAATGATATAACACTCATAATTGATTTGACCAACTAAATAATGAAGATATAATTCTCCACCATTAGTTGGGCATACTAAATAATCAATATTTGGTTTCAATTATAGTCCAACTAAAGAAATAATTAATGAGGACATGATTCTCCACCATAGTTGGACATACTAAAATAATAAAATACGCCTTCCAAAACCAAGTTGGAATTCGGCTCAGAAGATATATTTTATTATTGGAATTCATAAGAGGTATATCATACCACGCAACATACTATAGTTAGTCCAAATAACCAAGTAAGCTTCGTGAAAAATAATTAATAAAAGGTGTATCTAAATTTTGGAAAGTAACTAAATACATGCTTTGCCAATGCAAACCATGAAACTTAGAATTATATATAATTGAACTAAATTTATAAATTCTAAGAAATTGGGATAAAATTATAATCTAATGGGTTGATGAATTTATTGACATAAAACTTGCCTGTGGGCTAAAGTTTTAATTCTATTAAATTCAATTAAACACTTATGATAGTATTTTATCTCAATTACTAAATAGTCAGAAGAATCTAGTGACATAAAACTTGCCTATGGGCTAAAGTTCACTCAATTAGATCCAACTGAAATTTTATGATGAAACAATTAGCAAATGAGTTGAAGAATCAAGTGACATAAAACTTGCCTGTGTGCTAAAGTTTTAATTCAATTAGATTCATTACAACCATTATGACAAAAAACTTAAGAGATCATGTTCCTTATCTTAATCCCTGTGGGCAAATTAAGATATATGACCTAAAGCTTACATCATAAAATTAAGCTTCATGATAGAGGTGAAAATTACTCATAAAGTAAGTAAAATTCTTTATTCTTATCATTACTGATAAAACTACTAAACTATATTCCGATACATAATTGCATGTGGGCTAAATTATGATCATAGTTCAATATTTCATCCTAATTAATCATACAAATATAACGAAATTGCATGTGGGCTAAATTCCATCATATTATATACAATTAATCACAATTGATATGTCTAAAAATTTATGTGACCCTAACAACTCAATATATAATTTTAACTGATTAAGGATGCTGTGGCTACTCCCCAACTAATTAAAATTATAAGATCACTAGACATTTATCAATTTTTTTTTATGTGACCCAACAACTCAATATATAATTTTAACTGATTAAGGATGCTGTGGCTACTCCCCAACTAATTAAAATTATAGGATCACTAGGCATTTATCATTGCCATCTTTATGTGATTTGAACTTTAGACAATTTTTAGTAAATTAAAGATGTTGTGGCTACTCTTTAATTAATCTAGAAATTGTAATCACTTGGCAAAAGGGGAAGTTAAAGCCTAACAAACGAATTAAACCAACACACGATAGACAATTATTAGGTATAATCCCAGGAAAGTTGGTCGAGACGAAGCTCGGTTAAATACCAACTCCTTAGACAGAGTAGCGTCGCAAGGGGACTAGTAGCAACAAGGCTTTTAAGCCAGGGCCATAGAACTAGTATTCCTCCCCAAGAAACTTCCCTAAGTCATGTGTTCTCATGATTGAAGTAAAATCGTTTGGGAGATTTATACAATTGTAGATTCACTTATGGATAAGGCTTTAAATTGATGAACTAAATTAACGGACTAAACGTGCTTAAATTCAGGCACTACCGCAGTTAATTTTATGCATAACGTTCAACTTAATAAGGAACTAAATCCATTCTCAAACTATGCTTTCTAAAGGCATAATAAATCGCATAATCTAAAATAAAATATTATGCTTAGAACAGATATGCATAAAAATAAATAATAAACTCATATATTCCAAATAAATTGCATAACTGAAAACAATTTTAATATGAGCAATAACCTCAAGTATACAATTAATATTCAAAACAAGTATGACTTCTAACCAAAAGAATTCCAAAATTTGAATAATAATATAACAGATATATACTTTGAAAGGTTAAAAACTAGCCCACGTGAAAATGTTTTAATTGCATAAAATCAAATTTGTGAGAAACAGGCTGAATTCACAAATATCAAGCCATAGTATATATTTATTCGTAAATAAAAATCTCACAAATTCTAATTGCATAATTAAACTTAATATTATGCACTTAATGTGATTGAATGCATAAAACAATTTAAAGAGTATGAAAAACACCAAATGTGTATTCAATTATTCATACTTAACTAAATGTGAGCAATGACATCTAAAATCATAATTCAAATGCTAAATAAATTATGTGATGGATGTACAATAATGACAATAGTCATTTGCCTAGAAAATATGTTTTTCCAAAATTCTGAATTGATTAAAAAAAAACCACTCTCCAAAACTCAATTAATAGTATTATTAATGGCATAAAATTACAAATAAACCAAAAAAGCAATAAATAGCTATAATAATATTATTATGCTAATTTAGAGACTAAATATGGAAAACAATAGTTAAAACTGTTAGCCTTTAAAACATTTTTGGATATAACTTTAAAATGAAATAAAACTTAAGTCCGAAAATGAATGTCACATAAATCAATTTGGAAACAATGCATGACTGAATACCATAAAAATAATGTTATCATTAATTAAAATATTAATAGTAATAAAGAACATTATAATCACCATTTAACATTTTAATAATGATAATCATGATAATACATATCTTAATGTTTCCATATTCTTTAGGATAAAATGTGACTAGTTCAAAATGGTTAACAGCTATAACAGTAGTTACCAATAATAATAAACTGTA